AGAAGAAATGGATGCAAGACATTTTCCCCTCCCCGTTTGTAGCAGTAGCACACAAATGCATGCTGGGATTTCTTTTCCTAGCCAATAAAATAGCCCAATTTATGCTTTTATCTGACTCAGTCCTGATCTGTCCTGTCTTGAAATAAGAATCGCGTGTCCGAATTTGCTTTTGAGTGACAAAGCCAATTTTTAGTTTGTGAACTTTTTGCCATATTACTGTTGATTTGCTTTACATATAGTGTTTGCTAGCTTTATATTTTTTTCTCTGTTTATTTCCTTTCTGTTTTGTTGTTATTGCTAATTGCAAACTTTGTCAATTCTGTTTGTTGAGCAGTTCTGTTATTTATTCTGTATTTGACCATGGCTACTCACTTCACAAAACACAGGAATATCTTATCAAGCGAAAGTAAGCTGACTTTAGGAGAAGCAAGTTTATAAGCCAACAAATATTGCATTAGGTATAAGCAAATATCCTCTATAGGAACAGAACATTTTATGACAATCTTTTATGCAGAAGAAACTGGGAACAGTTTAACTGGTTATCACGTTCGATATTCTAAAGCAAGTATCCGGCCAAGGTGTAAAATAATTTCTAACTTCCACCTACACATTCCCTTCTATACATATCGGAAACTTGACAGAGCCTTCTTGAAATTTGTGGCAAAGCAGTGAAGATGACGTCCTTATTTATGGAGCAGGAGAAATATGTCTTTGTGGTCAACAAATATATCGATAATGATGAAACCACCTCCTCAGCTGACAAAATAGATGCAACTGCTATGGCAGTCTCTCAGTTACAAGGCCAACAGTGATCATACGTATGATATAGTAATTCCTAATGAATCATGTCTTTTTGCTGTTTCTCCGAAACACTGTTCTTCCATCCATATACTGAAGCACTACAGGTTGGTTATGGGCTGTTTTTCTCTGGCCCTCTTTCCTTCAGTCTGTTCTATAACTGCTAAAGCCCTCTTTCCTCATAATGTGCTTCAGAACTCTGACATTAATGCCATGGGTCCTTACCTATAACTACAGAATGAACTCTTCCTAACACTATGCATACTACGCCTCTCAAGAGAGAGAGAGAGACGAATCGAGTCGAGCCGATAGTAGTCACTCCAAACCAGACTGATTGTCATACTAACACCTTCCACATCTTGTATTATTATTTCGTGTAATATACCTTCGTTATTTCTACTCTTGTGTCCGTGTTGTTCTTCCTTGATCCTAACCTGGATCATAACAATTAAATATAAGTGTTCTGTTCGTTTGCATTGTCTCTAAAACTTTGTCGCTATTCGGTCAATCGCACTCTCATCATCCTTCTGTAAAATCATATTTTCATTGCTTCAAATCCTTTCTTCTTCCATTAGGAGACTGTCCAGTATTCCCTGTCATATAGGAGGACTTTTATGACATAACATTTCAGTAATCTTTTCTTTGATTCTAACGAAATTTTCGCGTTTCTTAATACATTGCTTACCATTTGGAAGCATCTTTCGCTATCAAATTGAGTCTTCGGATTTCAATGTCACACTTTCCATCTGTTAAAACATTTCACAGATATTAAATTATTGCACTTGATTTTCCTATCTCCAATCTGTAAGTAGAATTTTGGGCAGCTCTTTTTACTAACAACCATGCATTCTGTCCGTTTGTAATGGACGTTTAGTCCTTTATTCTCGCTTTCCTACAGTATCTTCGGAGTATTTATTGTAGGTTCCTTTCTGCGATTGCTATCAACACTGAAACCTACATATCGTATGTTGTTAAGGTTTTGGCTCCTAATTATGTGTTCTGGTAGGAGTGCTCATTCTCTCAGAATCAATTCCCTGTATAAGTTGAATAAATCTGTTGAGAAGATACATCCTTGTCTCACATCCCTTTCTCTTTTTGTATATTTACTGAACTTTTATAGTTTCTGTATCGAATATTCCTCCGAAATATGTCAAAATTATCTGTCAGTTCCAACAGTAATACTAACGTAGTTTTTTGAAACGCTTTTGCATAATCTATAAAACACAGGTAGACATACTCTTCCATTTGTATTGATCTCACTGAAATCCTTTTGAGCATAAATATCACATTCCTTGTTCAAGTGCCTTTAACAAATCCGGCTCTTGTCCCGTTTCCGGTTTCCTACGCAGTCTCTTCGTCGGAATTCGGATAATGAGTTTTGTTATATGGTTCATTAGGATGATTGTCTGATAGAGTTCGCATTCATTTGCAGCAGGCTTCTCAGACAGTGTTATTAAAATAGATCTACATCGTTTTTTACGTTATATCAGCCCTGTTGCATATTTCATTCATTATATCTGTAAACTTGTCAATGCCAACATCATCTAAGACTACCAGCATCTCTATTACGATTTCATCTGGACCTGCTGCTTTCAGTCTATTTAATTTGGCCATTGCTGATTCCACTTCAGATTTTAATATTTCTCTTCCTAAGGATATTCCTCCGTATTATCTGTTCTATTTCATCGCAGAAGATTTATCCGATGTATTTATTGCCTTTAGGAAATATTTTTCATTGTTTATTATCAGTGTCCCGTCATTGGATTTTATGCATCCTGTTGATGACAATGTCTTCTGTCCTCTTAGTTCTCTGATTTTCTATATATATCCGCTTTAACGGTGATACGGATTCTATCTATTTCTGTACATTTTTCATTGAGTCATTCCTCGTTAGCTTGCCTGCATTTGTTCATAATCTCTTTGAGCAGAGTCATCATTTCTGTGCCATGCCATGGCATTGTTTTATGTCACTTTTTTATCATGTCGAGAAAATCGTCTGACATTTATTCTTTTTTCATTATCTATTTTTATTGGGGGTGATCTCTGACGATTGCTGACATTACTAAAGCTCCCCTTATTGTGTCTCACATCCAGATTCCATTCTCATTTTATCAATTGTATCTGATTTTAACACTGTACATATATTTCTGTCCACGTTTGAGTTAATCAGGAGTCTGTCGTATTGCAATTTGGGGGATGCCTTGGCCCTGTTCAATTGACGTATTATCACCCTGAGTTTACATATCACTGTAAAGTGATTGCTCCCACAGTCGGCATTTGGTTATGTTTTACAGTGTAAAACTGCATTCCCGAATCTCTTATTGATATTTATATAGTCGCTTTGGTTTTTGTTTCTTCTCCTGGTCTTTTACATATACATATAGTTATTGAATGTTTTTGAAATCAGGTGATGACTACTACCTTATCAATCGCTGTGCACCAATGAACCTATATTCCTCCGTGTTTATTAAAATTTCCTATTCCAAATATGTCAACTATTTCATAATCTCTCTACTTGCCAATATTGGCATTCAGTTCGACCATGACGACTGCAAATTTTGGCGTTTTGCATTGAGCCATGTCGTCGTCTGGCGTACAGTCATTTTTTTTTCTGTACTTTGTCTTGCCGGTGCATAAGCAACTATGATGGATATGTTGGATATCTTTCTATTTAACAAGGATTCTTTCAGATAGTTGACAGTATCCCAGAACGCATTTCTTCATGTCCTTATCTAATATTAGTCCTACTCCTCTTTCAGTTTTCTCTCCGCTTTTATGTATGATTCTGTATTTGTCACTAATGAAATTTCCATTGTTTGTCCACCTTGTTTTATATACGCCTAAAATATTAATATTTAACCTGTTCATTTCCTGTTTCCTATTTAGTAAGAGGCCACTGTATTTGGGGAGAGAGGGAGAATAGATTGCCTAGTTTGTGATTTAAAATGTTTTTTGCATATTAATTTGTGTGGAATATAAATATAAGTTACTTTCAGTCATAGC